CATTTTGTTTTGAAATATTATGGATAATTTGATAAATATTTTATATTTAATTTATATTTCTGATTTTTAGGTTAATTTGTTAAACCAATATACAAAATCATACATTAATGTATTTTTCCTTAAACAAATTAAGATTAATGTACTTTCCAAAACCGATATTGATGGTTTAATTTGGTAGATTTCGAAATAATATATATGGAAACTGGTATTTAATATCTTTAAATTTTTAGTAAGATCCAATTGAAAAATTTCGGGTTAATTTTTTTAAAAAACCCGACCCAAGAAACTTTTGTACTTCTCTTTTACTATAGTAGGGATATAACCAAAACCAAAAAGGCATTCTATAGCTATTATGATTACACAGTTTGTTTTTGCAACTTTTTCATTACAATTGCTTCAAGAATCCCATCTGTTCCAAAGTTGCCAGAAAAGTCCTCCGGATGGACAGGACCAGGGAGGCGGAACGAGACAGAAAAGTGACCGGGCAAGCAGAGATTCTGCGTTTGCATTTCAAACAGCTGAGAATACCGTTGAACTCGCTTCTCGCCTGTTGTAGTGACTCCTCTGATTAGTACCTTCCCATTGTCTTCAACTGCACAGCTAAAATATTCTGCAATATCTCACACACATCAGGTCAAGAAATTGGTTTTGTGGAATGAAAGCTTATTCATGAATAAGTAAAAGAACACAGTAGAAGATAGTCACTCACTCTCATCTCTTTTCACACCCGGAAGAGCTACACGGAAGAGATAAGCATCATCACATTCACCAATATCCATCAGTCCCACCATTAGTTCACCCTCATCTTCAGATATCGCCTCGGGTTTTGCAGCAACATCGCTTTCTTCACCGCTAGTGCAAATACCCGCCTTATCATTGCCATCACATGTAGTAGGCACTTCCAACACATGTTCAATCTCTTTCAACGGTTCCAAGCTCTCATCCATCTTATCCTCAACCTCATTAGCTTCAACAACACTGTTACTTTCAGTTACTTCAACACTAAGGCTCAAAGCAAAGCTATCCAATCCCGTAAGCTGCTTAAACCGTTCAACACAGTCTTTTCTCATACAAGAAGTATCTGGATCATTGATGAACACAATGCTTTTGATAAACTTATACCTATTCCCAACACGGGTTTCAGGATGCAGTTTTTGCGGATAAAGATCCACGAAAAGAGGGCAATCACCGTTCGAACCATTGCGTTTTCCATTGAAATAATAACGCAGCTTCCTCGGCAGTATGATTAGAGACTGATCAACATTTCTAAGAATGTGATAATACACACGTTCTACCTCAGCCCTCTTCATAAGTGAGCCACTTAACTCATCTGCTACAACATTCTTCTTAGACGCTTGAATCTGAAAAGCTGATTGCTTTATAAGCTTATGTGTTCTTAAATCTGGTCCAAAGTAAGTTCCTATGATGAAATGTAAGAGAAACAACTTGTCGTCTTCAATGTCAAGTGAAATTAACAAACTTTCATCTTGTTCTTGAGAGTTCTCAGCTACTAAAGCGGACACGACCTCACACTTTGTATCACTCATATCCTAAAAACAACAACACAAAGGTTGAATCTTTATGAGTGTTACATCAAAAAGATCGAAGCTTTAGTAACGAAATTGAAACCCCTGAACATGCAACAAGAAATTATAACCAAACCAAATTCGAATCAAAACAGGTGAAGATTCGTTGAAAAAAATCGAAACTTTGTAAGAGGTTAGTGAAATTGAAACAATAGAAACACAATTTCGAAGTAAATAAGCTGAAATTGAGATCAAAATGTTACTAACCAGAAGTGTAATTTAGGGTTCTACTTAGTGAATTTGTTGTTTTTTCATCAGAGGAGCAAGACAGCGACTGAAGTACAAGGACTCTTCAGAGATTGTAAGAAAAGGGTAAACTAATAATTTTACATCTTCTCGATAATGACTGGACCACGTGGCGTTATATCAACATCGATCACTTCCCTTTTTTTTTTGGGTTCTTCTCAAATAGAGAAAATAAAAAAAAAAACACCAAAACAAAGCTTCTCGGAGATTTTTGCCGGCGACTTCTGAAACAACGTCTCCGATGAGGTAAAGTTTTAGAATTTTCTTGAAAAAATGGTAAATTTTGTTTCTGGGCTTGCTCGTATATAACAAACTTGTGTATTGTGGTTCGTTCGTGTGAAAGTTTTGAGATTTCTTTATGGGTTTTGCACATTTTCACTGATTAGGTTATTCTTGACTCAAAGCTTTAAGCTTTGATGATATACTTGTGTGTCCAACACTATCAAAATTGAACTTTCATACTTGTTTAGTCTAAAAAGGTGTGATCTTGACAGAGTTTTCATGTCTGATCTTAGTTTCTTAGCTAAACCCTTGTTTATAAACTGAAGAGAAGAACAGAAAGATTAGGTTGGCTCTTCGTTTTTCTGATTTGTGGTAATGAAAGGTTTAAATTTTATGGATACTTGTGAGCATTAGGTCAGTGGTTATAGATCACAAAGACTTTAACTTGCCTATTGAATCTAACCATTGTTAACATAAGTAGTACAATGTTTAGCTACTTTAGGGATTCTATGTACCTCTTGTTTGGTTCATTAGCCTTTTAATGTTTCATGATTAAGCCTTTTTGATCAATAACAGCCACTGCTGTTTTGAAAGAGTCGCTGTAGTTTCGCAATTGAAACTGTTATGTAATGGATTGGTGTCAATTGTATGATAAATGGAATTGTTGTGATTCAGGTCTTCGAGTGGTCAAAACGGGATGAGGGAGAACAACATCTTCCCGGAAAACACAATGCACCCGCAATTTCTTGAAGTGACTCCATTGAACAGTTTGCCTTACATTGGTCCAGTAACTCATGCATCAATGTCGAGTAACTGGGCAAATGAGAATGCAGAGAGAGTAGGAGGGCCAGCGATGATATTTCTGCCTTCTGAATCAACTCCAGAGTTTAATAGCATTATCAGTCAAATAAAAACCGGAGTTGCTCTTACAGGAAGCGCAGCCATGGGGAAGATTGGACCAACGGTTGGTTTGGTTGATATTGCTGAATCCGAGGACTCATACTACTTTCGTGTTTCATTACCTGGTGTTTCAAGAGATGAGAGTAAGACTCAACACCTTTCCATATCTTTGTGAAGTTTCTAATTGACAAGACATTCTTGTTTCTGGAATTCTAGTTCCAAACCTTGTGAAAGATATTTGCTCATTCAGAACAAAGATTATTTGCATGTTGCTGAAGAATATGTAGATTTGGGAAGTTTCAATCTTGTATTATAAGTATGTTTACTCACTATTTCCTTTGCATATAGCTTATATGCGTTTTTGAGATGCTCTGAGCTGTGTATCTTGTGCTTTTACTTGTCTTCTGCTGAATCTGACATGTTGAATATGCAGAGGACTTCAGCTGTGAAATAGAACCAGACGGTAAGATTCTGATCAAGGGAACAACAACGACTGGGGAGAGGACAATTTGCAAACACAATCAGATCTTCAAAATGCTAACACAGAACCTATGCCCTCCAGGCCACTTCACCATCTCCTTTCAGCTTCCAGGTCCTGTGAGCAATGAGGAATTTAACGGTAATTTTGGATCAGATGGTGTACTTGAGGGCGTGGTGAAGAAGATGTACGACGAAGACTGAACAGAATAACAAAAGTGGAGATGGATTTGTTAAGTTTTAAAGTAAGCTAGAATCATTGCAACTTATGTAGGAGTTTATTTTTGTTGTAAGCTACATTGCCATTAGAAAGATTGTTTGATTAGTTTGATGTTGCTTCGTAAAAACTTGAAACTTCATATGCCTGATTAAAGATAGATTGGAGATACTATGGTGGGAAAATTTTGCGATTAGAAAGATTGTTGTCTACCAAGTTACCAACTTTGAAAATTCTTATTTTTTTTTACATTTTCCTCAATTGACTAGCTTAGGATAAAACTATCATATATACTATTAAGTTCATAGTGTATTTTGTTGCATACACCATTAAACATATTTTCCATATACACTATTAGAGTAAACTAAAGATTACTCTCAAAACTATAAAATATATCTACATATTTTAATTTACTCAATGTATCTATTAAGGTAACAATTAATCATTGTGTTTCATATGTTGTTCTTTTTTAAATTCAAGGATTATCGTTTATGTTCTGAAAAATGCAAGTGTTAACTGAAGTTCACAAAGACTCTTGGAGTGTATTCAAAATAGAATTTCAAATGATTTGTGAAAAATTACAAATCTTGTGTTATTCAAACATGGATTTTAAAAAGTCCAATGAAATCAAGCGTTATTGAATTAGTGATTTTAAAATCCACTGTTATTAAAAACAGTTTGTGGATTTGATTTTAAATGATTTGAGAGGATTTTAGAGGACTTCCTTAATTAAAACTACAATAATCCAAATTTAATAGTTTTAGGTGGGAAATGAAAAGATTATACAATAAATCATATGAACTTCCCTAAAATTATCATAATCATATAAAAATAAAAATAAATAAAAAAACTCGAATCTCTTAAATGCTATTTTGAATACACCCCCGCCTCCCTAAAATTTGAAAGAGATTTTAAGGAGATATCGAATGGCTCTTTTAAACCAACTATTTATTAGTCATCAACTAGAGAAAATTCATTTCATTACTTTAATAAATACACAATAGACTAGAATTTCTATACAAATTCTAATACAACTATCTAAGAGAAGAAATAAGATTAACAAGTGAACGCATTTTACACCAACATCGGTCTCTTTCTAAGGTAATTTCTCTCTAACTTAACAGGAGCACAAGCTTATAAAAAATTTGTTGTCAAACTTCTTTGTATTTGTTTTTAAATCGGTCTTGTATTCTTTTAATAAGGTCAATACTCTAACGTCTCTTTGTTTTCTTCGCATATATTGAGATTAGTCATCATTTAATACATAAAATAAAGAATGATACCACAAACATAAATAAAATTTAAGGATTTCGTAATTTAAATTTTTTCAAAAAGTTGGAAAAAATGAATAATGAAATACTAGTCTAAAATCATTATCTTTAAAATTATTATTCAACATTAAAAATAGGAGTAATAATCGTCTTGTTTATTTTTTGTATTATTTTGGCTTACCACATATCTTGTATTTCTCATCATTTTGTAACTACTTACCCTTTATATTTACCACTAAAATATCTTTACCTTTTTTGCAAAAGAAAATAAATAAAAGAACAAACTTTCAAAGCTTTTATCTCTTTATACTATTAGTCACACTCATTAGCATACTCACGATTCTTTTTCTATTTAATTTATTGACAATGATTATTTCATATATTGTGTTTGTTTCGGTGAAGAAATCCAAGGGTTTTGGGCTTCAGAGTAGTGTGATTTCATGAATCTGAGTGTTCTCTCTCAACCGGATGTTGTATATTGCAAGAAAATTACCCTCACCCAATGGTGATTATCAGAAAAAGTTGATACAATCAACGGCTGTTTGAAAACTATCTTAAATTGTTATGCATTTTCTCCACTAACTTACGACTATGATTTTCAAGATGATATACAGAATTTGTTCGATGGTCATTACACAACAACTGGAATGATCATTCTTTGTTGGGAATTTGTCCAGCGTGTCACTTTCAACCAAGACAAAATTGAGAAAAGTCTTCCTGCTGGATATTTCAATGATGTTATTCTTGTTACTTACCTTGTGAAAAAGGTAATTGTTGAAAAGCCTACCATTTTTGTAGTCAAATCCACAAAGTTTTTCTTTTGCTTTTGAGGGGCTTACTCTTATACTGTCTTTGGATTTTTTGGATAAAATAGTTGGATTTTGTGTTTTATTAGGACGTAAGTTCGAGAGTGTTATTGTTGAAGAACTAAAACAGCAATGGCCTAGTCAATTTGGTGATGATCTTTTGTTTTTCTCAATCAGTTTCATGACTAATTGAAGTTACTTTAGGAAAAAATAATATTTAAGTCTTATTTAGGTCTTTTTCCAATAGTAAGTCCTAACTTGAATCGACTTGTCGTTGGAAGTCTTAAGACCATCCACATCGACAATCCTCTAAAATGGGGTCTTATTTCAGTCATATTCATATTTTAAATATATTTTTAATTTATTTAAAAACTTAAACCAATAAAAGTTAGACATTTGGCAAGCCAATGTCTAAAAATATCTCAAATTTCTGTGCATAAACATTATGTACACTCTCTCTCTTATTTTTCTATTTTTCTCTTTATTATTTAATTACTGAGACATCAACAAATGTCTGCAATGGAGATGCTCTAAGCCTTGCTGAAATACTTGAATTCCTAACACTATCAAAATTGAAAATTTGACCAAACTTATAAAAATTTAAAATTCAATTTTTTGACTTTAAAATCTATGATTTTTTACACAAATGTGACATAATTTGTATATAATTTTCCTTTTATTGGTCAAATAGTGGTTACAAAAAATTGTAAATATATTACATAATTATAAATATATTAAACTTCTAATAATAATATTATCAATTATAAAACTTTTAAAATAACCCTAAACTAAACTTCTATGACTTTATATTATGAAATATTTAATAAAATTGAGTACTATACAACAATTGGGCCATGACATTTGGGTACTCCGGTCATGTTCAAGTACACAAAATGTTTGAGTTTGGGTCTGTTGGGTAGAAGAGTTTAGGATCTAATAGGACAAATGTATAATTTCAAATTCGGATCAAAGTTTTCAGATTCATTTAGGTATGGATTTTTGTTTTCTGTTTTTTTTTTTGCCTAGACCTACCACTATAAATTAATGATTATTACTAATTAAAATTATAAAATAATAAATATTAATTTATAGATAAATTTATATCACTATAAATTAATAAAATATCATGCTCCCAACATTATTAATTTATAGTGGTTATTGTAATAATCAACTCTTTTGGTATTTGATGATGAAGCACTCTTCCTCGTAAGGCATGTGTTCCCTAGATTATGTGCTTGATTATGTTCTCGTAAGTAGTAAATGGTACTAGCTGTCGGATGTTTGACTAATCCTAAGAACATTGATGATAAAGATTTAAACTATTTGGGAAGAGGTAAAATTTTTGATTTAAAACTATCAGTTCCAAGCATCGCACAACAAGAGAAGTAAGTTGAAAAGATTCATCTCTATTATCTATATCTGATGGTAGATTATTGTGCGATGGTAGATAAAGATTCATCTTTATGCATTTTTAATAAAATACTTTTAAGTAAGACATTTACCAAATTACATTTTCTTATTTTTAACCTAAAATAAATTTTGTAATTCATTTTAATATTTTTTTCTTGTTTACTATTAATAGTTACAATGTACACAAAATATATTTTGCATCAATTTTACAATTGCCTACTATATTGTGTGTGTGCTAATTTTGTAATAATTTGTTATAAAATAAATGAATAAGCTTTAAATTCAAGACATATATTAACAATTGCTTATAGACTATATATAACTTTCTTTGATCCGGATCAAAGTCATTCACCTATTGAGTGGTCCTCTGTCTCGTCATAGGCTTTCAACAGCAGGTATGTGATATCTCGATCTTATATATGCAAGATACAACAACTATATCTAATGAAAATCTTGGGGTATTTCTCCCCTTCAACTATAGTATACTAATGTAATTTTTAATTTATATTACAAATTAGAGAAATTTATACCAATACCCTTTTTATGATATCCTCTTTTAAAAATACCCTTTTTTTTGCCATTTTCATTTTTGCCCTCTCTTAAATTTTAATAGCCTTTTTACCCTTAGTTGAAAGAATATTCTTTTCCAAAGGAAGGAATATTCCTTCCAAAAATTTTCCCCGCCAAAATTTTTCCGCCAAAAATTTTTCCGCGAAAATTTTCCCGCAAAAAAAAAAATTTACAAAACTTTCCCGCCAAATTTTTTTAAAGGGTTTACAAGATTTTTTTAAAAGGTCTTTTAAAGGGTTTACAAGGGTTTTTAAAGGGATATACAAGAGTTTTTAAATGGTTTATAAAAGATTTGTAATGGTTTTTAAAGGTTTTAGAAGCTTACAAAGGTTTTTAAATGGCTTTTAAAAGATTTACAATGGTTTTTAAAAATTTTTATATGTTTATAACAATTTTAAAAGGATTTACAAGGATTTTTAAAGGATTTTAAAAATTTACAAGGATTTTTGAAGGTTTTTTAAAAGGATTTACAAGTGTTTTTAAATGGATTTACAAGTGTTTTTAAAGGCATACAATGATTTAAAAATAGGTTTAAAGGGTTTAAGAAGTTTACAAACATTTTTAAAGGGTTTACAAAAGTTTTTAAAGGTATTACAAGTTCTTTAAAATGGTTTTTAAGGATTTACAAGGGTTTTAGAAGTTTACAAAAGTTTTTATTAAATGATTTATCAAGGTTATAAGAGGTTTAAAGGGATTTACAAGTGTTTATAAATGTTATAAAATGATTTACAATGGTTTTAAAAGGTTTACTCAAGTTTTGAAAGGTTTTGGATGACTTTTAAAAGATTTACAAGGGTTTTTAAAGGATTTTTAAGGGATTTAAAAATATTTACAAGGTTTTTTAAAAGGTTTTTTAAGGAATTGCGGAAAAGTTTGGCTGAAAATTTTTGGCGGGAAATAGTTTTTTCTGAAATTTTTGGCGGGAAATTTGTTTGTCGCAAAATTTTGGCGGGAAAATTTGGCGGGAAATTTTTTGGAAGGAATATTCTTTTTGTTGGAAAGAATATTCTTTTCTTCATCATGGGTTATAATAGGAGAGTAATTTAGTCATTTTGTACATTGAAGAGGGTATTTTTGAAAATGGACACATAGAGAATATTCACACATAAAAAGGTTAGTTGTGCAAATCCTCCTACAAATGAATACTTCATACATAACCCGCTTCGCATGAAAAATTTTCTAGTATTATATAGTTAGATGTAATTTTTGACTGAAGTGGAATTGTTTTTTTATTCATTACGATATGAACAAATTTTTGTCTTACATAATTTTAAACTAGTATTTTCGCGCGAAATGTGAGCATGAAATTACTCTCAAATTAAATAAAAAATTTTTGAAAAAGATTTCATAGGGATATTAAATAGAGCAATACTTGGGTTCACCCCCTATTGATTAGCCAATCAAAATAAAACAATATGTCATGTCATATTATATTTATAAAAAAATAAAAAATAAAACAAATCTTAACCTCTCTTTTATAAACCCAAACCAAAATATAATTTTGGTTAATTACAAAATTCAAACCCTAACCATTATTTTATAAACCCAAACCAAAATATAATTTCGTCTAATTACAAAATCTAAACCCTAACCACTAATTTTTCAACCCAAACCAAAAAATAATTTCGTTTAATTACAAAATTTAAACCCTAACCACTAACTTGTCAACCCAAACTGAAATATAATTTTGTTTAATTACAAAATATAAACGTTAATCACTATTTTATAAAACCCAAACCGAACTATATTTCCTTAATAAAAATCCTACAGAATATGTTTCCATAATTTGATTTTATTTTTATTTAAATTTTAATTTTGATTTAATTTTGTAAATAATAAATGACATGACATATTAAGGTATTTTGATTGGCTAATTAAAAGAGAGTGAACAAGAGTGGTTCACCCCTAGGGGTGAACCCAAGTATTTTTCTATTAAATATGTTTGGTGTTGTTGTTATACTGCATTGATGTGATTTTATATTTCAAATAATTCATGTGTTTAGTAAAACTAAAAATTAAAAGTAATAGATTTTTCAATTTATGATTAATAGGTTTGAAACTAATATATATAGAATTTCTTATTAATTATTGTTGTACATAAAATATATAGAAGACATGATCACTTGCCACTTAGATTTAATATATGCCTACATAAAGATATATCAATTTATCTATCTTGAATAAATTTTGTTTGATCATAATTGGGTATGTTCCAAACAAAAGACAATCCTAACTAGACGGTAAATTATACAAACGCATAATACATATATACAATACACATATGGTTGAGATATATTGACCTATGGTTGAGTTAGTGACTAGTAAAAATATTCCTATTGTCACTTGAATAAAATTAATAGTAAAGAGAGAGTTAGTAACTAGTAAAAATATTTCTATCGTCACTTGAATTTTCGTGGCTGCACCTTAATATTCGCGATCGTAACTTAAATAATTCGTATTTTTTTTTGCTAAATCATCTTATAACCACTTAGACTTGCTAAATCATCTTATAGCCACTTAGACGCGGCCATTTGGTTAATCTCTCTGGTTTCGGTCGAAACGAACACACACAATTGCTTTTCATTTTTTCAATTTGCTAGTTACGATGGGTTTTTCTTTTAATTACTGTCCGTTAAAAACCAAAGCACATAAAAGAGATACAAAAGAGTCTTTCACACAAAACACAACCATTAGTAAGATCAGAAAAGAACAAGGCAACTAAACAACAAGCCCATTAGTCCTAAACCAGCCATCACTCTCACAGACGTCGCCTCACCAGCAACAAAGCTTCCACCTGGACTACTTGTGGTCAACACAACAACCATCCACTCCTTCTCCGACCCAACACCAGCTCCAACATACTTCGAATCATTTAGATACCGGGCATAACCTGTCTGTGTGTAATTAGTTAAGGCCAGAGTAGGGATTCGGTTAGGGATACATATCGGTAAGATCAATCCATCACGCGTAGTGTTCGGGTCGATTTTGCACTCAGAAAGAATTTCTTGGAAGTTTGTTAACTGCGGAGGGACCGAACCAGGAACAACTGTCGTGCTGGCTGTTGTATGGTTTGTGCATGGCTGATCTTCGAGCTTGTCGGCGATCTCATCGGCCACACAATCAGCCTTATCGTTCTTTGCAAAAGGCGGAACCTTTTGAGCAGTTCTGTAGCTGTTTAAGCCTTGTAGAAGATTATCCTCCGCCTCTACAACATCACAAACACACACACAAAAGGATAAATATATATGAGAAATAAAATTGTAACTCCAATATTTTGCACTACGTACCAAGTAATAAACTAAGTACTATTATTATACATCTATTTCTTTACAAAACATTTAATCTAAGGTCAAAACATATGTAAACTTAAACACGTATGTGAATGTTTATTTCAAGTACATAATGTAACCAAACTAAAGAGAGAGAGGTAAAGAGTTTTTACGGTTGGAGATAACACTTGTGGAAATCAAGGAGAAAATGAGTAGATGAATGATGTAGACGGAGAGAGACATCTTCGTAATCAAGACCATTCCTCTTCCACACAAGTTCTTATTCTTATTCTTTTGGTAATAAAAGCAAGAGTTAGAGATTAAGAACAGGCAAAGAGAATGTAGTCTTATTTGTTTATAGTATCTTGAACTCTAGAATTAGCTTTTTCTTGATAAGATCTGTTAAAGTTGCAAAACACTTGGCAAAGAGGAGGTTTCGTATTCGCCAAAAGACGACGTGTATTAATGCACATCCTCGTCACGTGTCATGCATGCACAACAACAAAATACAATTTGCAAGATATAATCTCATCATATTGAATAAATCTTTATTTGTTAGTGTGTGAAGGAGAAACAAGTATTGTCCATGTCACACGGATCACCGTTTATGGATTTACCACAAATCCGGCTCCATTCACAAACACGTGTGACTTCCTTTGGCCAGGTCATGTTCTTTATTCTGCTACGTGTCTTATCCCATATTGAGATATATGCTAGTTTCTATATGTAACGTGTGTGCATGTATATATGGCCATGAACGGGTTGTGTAGAGTGTTCACTTCGTCAAGAGTCTTATCATCATACGTTACGCTTTTGTCATCTCAAATTCCAAACAAAACTAAGAAACCTCTAGTTGAGAATAGAAGATTATTACCTCAGCTTTTGTGTGTAAGAGCGATGGCGACTGAGAAACAAAGACAACATGCACAACCTGGGAAAGAACATGTCATGGAAACAACTCCACAGTTCTCTAGCTCTGACTACCAACCCTCCAACAAGCTTCGTGTAATTATCTTTATAACCTATAGTTTTATATTAAAAGTATTTACATATACGTAACGTTTTTTACGTGCCATGTTCAATCAGGGAAAAGTTGCGTTGATAACTGGTGGAGACTCTGGGATAGGTCGAGCGGTGGGATACTGTTATGCACTCGAAGGTGCCACGGTAGCTTTCACTTATGTGAAGGGTCAAGAGGAGAAAGATGCACAAGAGACTCTACAAATGTTGAAGAAGGCAAAAACTTCAGATGCTAAGGAACCAATTGCTATTCCTACTGATTTAGGATTCGATGAGAACTGCAAAAGGGTCGTTGATGAGGTCGTTAACGCGTTTGGACGCATTGATGTCTTGATCAATAACGCAGCAGAGCAGTACGAGAGTAGTACTATCGAAGAGATCGATGAGCCTAGACTTGAACGAGTCTTCCGTACTAATATCTTCTCTTACTTCTTCCTCACAAGGTAACACGTGTAATAATTTTTGTTTCTCATGATAAAGACACGTACGTGAAATGGTAATTGAGGTTATTATGTTATATTTATTGTAGGCATGCGTTGAAACATATGAAGGAAGGAAGTAGCATTATCAACACTACATCAGTGAACGCTTACAAGGGTAACGCTTCTCTACTCGACTACACGGCTACAAAAGGAGCTATCGTTGCGTTTACTCGAGGACTTGCTCTTCAGCTTGCGGAGAAAGGTATCCGTGTCAACGGTGTGGCGCCTGGTCCGATATGGACACCGCTTATCCCGGCCTCGTTTAATGAGGAGAAGATTAAGAATTTTGGGTCGGAGGTTCCGATGAAACGAGCTGGTCAGCCAATTGAGGTGGCACCTTCGTATGTTTTCTTGGCTTGTAACCATTGCTCTTCTTACTTCACTGGTCAAGTTCTTCACCCCAATGGTAACTCCATATACACATAGTTACATATATAGACTATGATGATTTTAGTCAAGTGTCCAACTTCGTTTAAACTTATGTGTTTGTGTAGGAGGAGCTGTGGTGAATGCATGAGCTTGGAATGGATCGGACACGGCTGTCTTTAAACGTCTAAGGTTTTAAATATGGTTACATAAGTTGTTATGTTGTTGTCGGTTTAAGGGCATCTTGTTAAGTCATGTATATGCTAGTAATGTATCAACGTACCTTTCGTACTAGTATGGTGGAACTAGAAAATATATGTTACAATAAAGACCTTCCACATCTATAGTGTTTTGGGCGTTTTCGCTATCTATAATGCAAAAACTGTAAAAATGGTACAAGATTAGAAATATATATATATATATATATTAATTTCACAGATTTAGTTGGTAATAAAGTGGAAATATTTAATAATAAAAATCTTGTAAGTCAGACTATTGCCAAACGATCATAAACTTTAATATACTGTATAGTCAACAAGAATGGCACATGCCCTTTTTTTACAAACATTGAACCAAGTTAGTGGAATTATAACATATATACATACACTTGGCTTGCTTTAAAATTTCAGATTATGCATTTGTTAATACGAAAATAAATATATATTATCAATTTTTCTAACAAAATAATCAGAGGTTGTCTAAACACTACGATAAAATGTTTGACTATGTCTCCGTAAACATATATTATTAATTTTATTAACAAACTAATCAAGGTTGTAAACACTACGTTAGAATGTTTGACTATATATGAAGATATATCAATTTTATAACAAATAATCAAGGTTGTAAACACTACGTTAGAATGTTTGACTATACCTCTTTTGAAAATTCCGAGTTTTATTTTAATTTGAACTTAACCATCCCGTATACAGAGATGACTTTAATTGTTTTTGTTTATTTATTTATTAGAGAGACTTTAATTTTTAATTAATACTTTGGCTTCTTCGAATAAGCTATATCAATCTTATAAATTAAAAAATAAACTAGTGACTAAATTAGATTTGGTGAAGTTCCACTATTAATATCTTTGACCCTAGATCCGCGATTTCGCATACAAGAACATGCGCATAGTTGCAAAGTACCTTACCCAATGAGGCCATGTCGCTAACACGTATTAACATATATATAATGAAATAAGTTCCTAGCATAAAATGAAACCTACTTTTTTTTTTTTTTTGGTTAAGAATTCAAAGTTGGGGATGCTATAAGATTTATTTATCGCTATTGACATAATGATCGACATTAAATGATAACATAACACTATTAGATCATATTAAAATTGTAAAATGTATAAGTTTACATGGATCTCATAAGCTTTGACTTCATCCTAATCCATCTGGCGTATGTGTATCGAACCTAGCTACGGGCACACCAAAACATTTATAGAACTATACCAAATTAAAGCACATTAATTCAATCTGTCAAGGAAACTATTTTTTTTTTTTTTTTTATAAATCCTATCTGTTAATACGGTCGGCTTCGATAGAAACACATCGAAATGTTTCAAAGTTGACTACTTCGCGAACCGTCACCTCACTGTTTATCTTAAGTTTAGAATGCTTTTTGACTAATATCAGAGGTAGTCAGGCCGCATATATTTCTGATTACCTGGTAAACCAACTGAGTTTTAGCCCAATTGACATACTTTCCATACAACAATGATTTTTATTTTGAAGGTGAATCGAATATGGATTAGTTATTTCCAACTTTTTCCCAGTTCTTTCTTACTACGGGACCACGGTTGTCTGGGTCTGTCAAAAAAACTAAATATTAAAAATAACTCGATCTTAGAGAATTGACTTTACAATAAACATATTAAAATTTGGTTTAGACACAAAGTAACGTGTGTGTGTTTGTGTCGGTGTACAAGTACATACATCCTAACTTAGAAAATTCCAACTTGCCAAGCATGCAATGCTTTCTATAAAAAGAGATCACATGGAGATGGAGTATTAACACTTATTCATATTTTCCTAAGAGGATTAAAAACAATGAAGGGAGATCTAAGAACAGGGTTTTACGTGATCTTGGTGGTGACGCTATATGCGTTTACGGTCATTGTAAAACTCGAAGCAGCCTCGTCGGAGACAAAGACATGTTTTCAAAGGAAGAGCCCATGTTTCCTTAAGAAGCAAACTTGCCCAAAGCAGTGCCCTTCGTTTTCTCCTCCAGCAGGAAGCACCAAGGCATGTGTCATTGATTGCTTTAATCCTATTTGCAAAGCTACTTGTCGAAGTAAGTAACAATACTCTTTTCCATTTCATAATATTTAGTATATAAATATATATATATATATATATATATATATTTCTTCACAAAATTTCATTTTTTATTTTGTTTTGGAAGTTTAAAGGAGATTTATTCGATAATTGCTTTATAAATCCATATCGGATTTAACAATTTTTTTACTGATTTTGTAATTAAAAGAACTTGTTTTAGGTTATGTTATTTTTAAAAGAAGATTTTGATATTAATTCTTGAAAATAATTATAATAATGATATATTGGAAAATAAATAATAATTCATTTTAGTGTTATTTACAATAGTTCCCTACTAACTTAAACTAAACATTTAGCTAATTAATTAGAAATATTATCAAATATATCATATATCAAATATATAACAAAATTTACATAGTTTTTTTTCTTCTAATGTGTGAGAAAAAAAATTCTAAAACACCATTTCTTAGAATGAAATTTTTTCAATTTAATCGTTGACAATATGTTTTCAAATTATGTAACAGATAGGAAACCTAACTGCAACGGCAAAGGATCAGCATGCTTAGACCCACGATTCATCGGTGGAGACGGAGTTGTCTTCTACTTCCACGGCAAACGCGATGAGAACTTTGCACTCGTCTCCGACGTTGACTTCCAAGTCAATGCACGTTTCATTGGTCTTAGACCTTCTGGCCGTAGTAGAGACTTCACATGGATCCAATCCTTGGGTCTTATCTTCGGCCACAACAGCAAAACCTTCTCACTCGAGGCCACAAAGGCTGCGAAATGGGACAACCAAGTCGACCATCTCGGTCTTTCTTTCGAGGGGAAAGAGATCTCTTTACCAAAAGGAGATGCATCTGTATGGAGTTCTTCAAGAGAGGATATAAAGATTGAGAGAACTTCAGACTTAAACTCCGTGTTGATCACGTTACAAGACATTGCAGAGATTTGGGTCAACGTGGTTCCGATAACAAAGGAAGACGACATAATCCATAGATACGGGAGACCGGAGGATGACTGTTTTGCTCATCTTGAGGTTCAGTTCCGGTTCTTAAAGTTGTCCAAGAACGTGGAAGGTGTTTTAGGAAGAACGTACAGAGAAGATTTCAAGAATCCGGCGAAACAAGGAGTGGCTATGCCAGTGGTTGGTGGAGAAGATAAATACAGAACAGTGTCACTTCTTGAAACAAATTGTAATGCTTGTGTTTACTCTAGTGGCTTAATAAGTTTGGACAAGGTCGAGCCATTGCTGCTGAATCAAAACACTGTTGATTGCACTGGTGGATCGAGCAGTGGTGTTGGGATTTTCTGTAGAAAATAAAGACAATATTTTATTATTTAATCGTAAGGAATAATCAAAGTTTCATCATGTTGGAAGCGTTGATGTTGCGATGATAGTTAAAATTGTTTTTAATCAACATCGGCTCTACAATAAAAAAAGCCTTAAAGAATTTTTTTTGTTTTAAAAGACCTTTTATTAAATGTATCAAAAATTTATATTTCTTTTGCTTTTATATTACATATATATATATATAAATATTTTGGTGTATATTTTCACCACAAAACAAAATATATGGGTCTTTATATAATTTCTCTTCATAAAGATTTTTTTTGCTTAAACATTTGTAAAAAAGAATTATGGGTCTTAGGCCCACTCACCTCTGCCCTACACATCTAAGCAGGGCTCCTTCAAATAATGGCCATGAATGTTTCAAAGATTTTTAGTGGTCTATGGATTATATTTTTTGGTTTTTGGATTTTATATTTTGGTTTATGATTTACAGATTTTGTAATTTAAAAAAGGGAAAATTGAAAATAAAGGATAAATATTTAAACATTTTCCATTTATGCATTCTATGAATAATTTTTAATTAATCAAAAATTATCCTTTATATTAGATTTAAATAATTTTTTCAAATAAAAGTGACAACAATGCATAGAAAAATGATGAAGAGTACATGATGATACTTATAATGTCAATATATGTTATAATGTCAATATACGTTATTTTATTGTTGGTTTGGATGGATAAAATTTGATTTATGAAGTTTAGAATACACTTTCAGAAATTAGAAAGCATATTTTATTCAATCTACATGTTCTAAAATTTAGATTATGTATTTTACGTAGTCTTCATGCTCTACCAAATTAAGAAGTCACTTTTGTTCTATGGTATTTAGAATTCTAATTTCTACGAAATTTAGAATACATATTCAATATTTTCCTCTTTGTTCTACAAAAAATAGAATACATATTCTAACGTTTACTCACGTTTTAAAAATGTTAGGAAAAATATTCTATGATAATTCATATTGAATTCTTAAATAGAAAATCAGATGCCATTCAAGGATATTTGATTACTTTTACTATTGGGGTTTTCTCTATAGACGGATCGTTAATGGACACGGTCAATAATTTTTTCCATAATCAAAATAGATAATATATGACGGATCAAAATGGACGTGGAAAGCCCGAATTGATAGTTTTATGAATACGATTCTCACCATAATATATGTTGTAAGATTCTAACTACAGTTTCGCCGATAGTTTTATTTTAATTTTCAAAGAACCAACGTGAAATAATTTTTGTTCTTTTTGTATATTCCCATTGTTTTCTAAAATCAGTTGCAATTTTTTCATTGCAATTAATTTTTCCACAAAAAATCAAATAATATATAACCAAAAATAGATAACGGTCAGTTTATATTAATAAAAAATTAAAGCAAAAAATCATTCACTTTACTTCCTATTTTAATTTCTATAAATCTTATCCTCTAACTACATTTTTTTTCCAAAAACAAATACAATTAATTTTACTTTATGCTACAAGTTGTAAATGAAAAAGTTAATTAATGCGTGGACTATGTTAAAAAAGGAAAAGGAAAGAAAAAAGGATGCAGTGTAGTTTTTGTGTGGTAGAGACAAAAAGAGAAATTTTTTATACAAATATTAGACCTCTAATTCTTGATAAGAAAGTTAATATATATATATGAGAGTTCATTTTATTTCTGAAGGTTGAACAAAACGTTTTTAACCTTTGACCAAAAAACACCAGAAAAAAACATGTCTAAAGATCCTTCACAAGTTGAAGTGGTTCTTGCTAATGACTCTTCTGGTTTAGAAAAAGGTGATTTCTCTCGTACATCTATGTATCAGATTCTTGTCCAAAACCCTGAACTTTTCTGGGATAGACTCCAAAGTTTTCTTGAATCTTCTCAAGGAATTTTCAAGTGAGTTCTACCTTTCCTTTCAAAAATTACTTTTTCTTTGATTCTACAGTTTATTGATGCAGTAATTGATGTGTAATCTATTATTCTGAATGGGAAAAACATAATCTTCATTAAACAGATGAATTTAGTATAGATTACTGCATTTGGTTCCCGAATCTTTGTGAGGACTTGTACATAGGCATCACCTTCTAAAAAGACTTGTACATAAGCATCACCTTCTAAAAAGACTTGTACATAGGCATCACTTTCTAAAAAGGATACGATTACGTGTTTTCCTAGGTTTGAGCAATGTTCAGAGGGCGGCGGTTTTTTTAAAGGAAACCCTAGAAAGGGATGTCCTCTTAAAAAACTCTATATGGGCCTTGGCCCAAAACCTAATTTGAAAAAACATAATTCATATATTTTAATAGATTTGATAGATAAAATTCATTTGTAGAGATAGAAGGGCAAGCAAGTGTATGTAGTTTATTGAATTGGACCTAGTTTGTTCTTTGATAAAGAGTCCAAAATCTGTATATGATTTAGTTTTTACATGATTTATAATTGCTAGGCCATGAAGAGTTTTAAGAGTGTGTCTTTTTTTGATTTCTGTTAATGGCAAATAACTTGTTTTAAAGGTAAAATGTTGAGAAATGAAAACTGCTTTATCCTCTTCTGATAAATAATTTTCATTGTTTGTGCTTAAGATGATTTGCTCTCTTCAATAAGAATTCATTTCTTGGAATATTTATGATATTTTTTCCTTAAATTTTGTAAAAGGATTCCTATTGTGGGTGGAGACAAACTCGATCTTCATCGGCTTTTTTACGAGGTCACATCACGAGGTGGTCTTGAAATGGTAACAAGTTCTTTAATAATATCACCGATTCATTATAAAGTATTCATACAAAAACGTACGATCATGTTTTATAAATTAATCATATTTATTAATTCTAGGTGATTAAGGATCGTAGATGCAAGGAAGTGATGGATGCATTCCAGTTTAAGAAAACAATTACAAATGCAGCAAGTGTTCTAAGGAAACATTATCTTAAAATGCTCTTTGAGTTTGAGCATGTGTATTACTTCAAAGCTCCACTCGCTGAGTTTCCAGAGAGAGGTATGAAATATCAAATCATGTTTTCTTAAAGCTCTCTTTCTAATATAATATACTTTGATTGTCCTTTTTCGCAGAGAAAGCATTGATGCGCCTTGTTGATAAATCAGCAAACAAAGACATGGGTACTTAGCTATTCTATGTTTTTTTTTGGATATGTTACATGATTTTTTTGCATGTTTAGTCTCTCTTCTTTCATCTTATTTTGAGTGTTGAGATTTGTTTTCTGAAAATATTTCAGACGTTGAAGAAGCGAAAGCTGGTTTGGTGTTTAATGGGAAATTCGAAAGCGGGTATCTTGTAACTGTGAAGATGGGCATGGAAGAGCTCAAAGGAGTAATTTTTCACATGCGTGATCAAGCGCCTCCTGAAACTCCAAGACGCAAGAAGAAGAGAGCCAAAACATCTCATGTAATACATTTTTATCATTTAATTTTTATTTTTCTTGAATGAGATTTAATGGATTTTGGTTTATGATTGTTAAACAGGATTATGAAGAGAAATTTCTTGAGAAGAAGAAGAGGGTTAACATGGAAACCGTAGCTGCGACCAATTCTTCGAAAACTGTGGCCGCCACCAATGCAGCTGAAACTGTTGATGCGACTGTTAAAACGGAAACTATAGCTGAAATGGATGAAGCGGAGACTGTAGCTAAGGTCCAGCCTGTAGAAACTGTAGCTGTCACCAATGCAGCGGAAACTGGAGCTGCGGCTAATACAACAGAAACTGTAGTTAGGGCTTTGTCAGCGGAAACTGTAGTTGCTACCAAGGCAATGGAAGCTGTAGCTGCCGCCGATGTAGCGGAAACTGTGGGTGGCACCGATGCAGCCGCAAGTACAAGTGAGTAGTGATCTTCGATGGCTGTCTTCTTTGTTTAATGTTACATATATTTTCTGTTATATGTAACACTAAACATATATTTTGAACTTTTGGTTTCTTTACTTTGCTAGTAAACTGGTAATAGCGTTGTGTCATTAGAGTTAATTAAACTGGTTTCTTTACTTCAAAAATTTTGAAGTACAACCGAAGTAAAAAATTTACGAGAGTAGGAGAAAAGAAACTAAATTATGTGAGAGGAAGCGAGAGCAATCAATTAATCAAATCGGATTTAACCATGACTTTTTTTACTGGTTATGGAATTTTAAATAGATAACCGGACTAAACCCGGAATTAAGGTTTGTGATTAATGATTAAGTAGGTATTAAATAGGGGAAAGGTCACCAATACTCGAACAGCTAAAGTGGTGGGTGACTCAGCATGATATTGGAGTCTCACCATGGTTCGAGAGGCGATATTGGTACCCCAAAGGAAAGTGTTTCCTCAAGAAAGTGTTCTCTACTTGCCTTCAATCGAGTAATCGGTGGAGGAAGCGGATGGCAGAGTTTCAACTCTGTCTAAACTGTCGGACTCAAGACAAGCGTAGTCTTGGGATGACCAACGAGCCACTCGTTGGTAATCCGATTGTGTAACCGGATCTCACCCAAAGGTGGGGATCCGATGTGAATCGGGGAAGTCTATCACAGAGAATCATGCCTCTTGTGGTAGCCGAATTGAGGTAATTCAAATTACCTCTTTTTAATTCTTAATTTTAATCGTGTGTTATGTTAACAAACTAGAAAGAAGAGAGCATCATCATACTTATCTGCAAAACCTGAAGCGAAAAGAAGAAAATTAAAGACATTAGTAACATGGTCTTTGATTCGTGTGTTTGGCGTTTATGTTTGTTTCGTAAAAATACTGTATACAGGTTAAAATTTATCTTTACCTGCAAGATCATAACAGTCTAACTAAGTGTTGAGGCTAGAGAAACAAAGTCTAAAGATGTGACTTCTTCATCGAAAGAACATATATTGAAGCATAGTACTCATCACAGAAACAGTAACAGTTGGACAAAGCTCAACAGAAGGCGACTTTTAAGTGTGGTGTAAGCACAAACCTTGACTTATTCAACCTTCCTATATTTCCAATGAACTTTGTTCTGAAATCCTAAAAGATTTTTATGATAACTTTATTCTCCTCTCTCGGAATGCTTATGTTATCCATAGTGTTGCAAAAATTCATTACATAAAGTTTTCATTCGTTCATAGTAGTTAAATTTGCTAGTAAACTGGTAATAGCGTTGTGTCATACGGAGAGTCTCACAAGCACCGTGTGAAGAGAACCCCATGGCCTAAAAGGTTTGTGGTGTAGATATGAACTCAGTAGAGCATCCTCATGGAGGAGGTAACCATCAGCACATTGGCCAGGCCAGTACTATCCATAGTAAGAAAATTTTACAAAACATTTGAAGTACAACGGAAGTAAAATTCTAAGAGAGTAGGAGAAAAGAAACTAATTATGTGAGACCATAACTTTTTTTTTTTTACTGGTTATAGAACTATTAAATAGAGAACCGGACTAAAGCAGGAATTAAGGTTTGTGATTAATGATTAAGTAGTTATTAAATAGATGAAATGTCACCAATACTCGACCAGCAAAAGTGGTGGTGACTTAGCATGATATTGAAGTGGATCATAATAAGTTGTATAACTTTGTTATTATAATTCTGTAATCTAAAATACCAAACTTTATGCTTCAAGTGCTGGGGATAATCCGTGTGTATTGTTTTTTTTTTTTTTGGTTTTTTTTTTTGTATTTTTTGTATTTTTTTGTATATTTTTTTTTTCGTTAAAGGGTTTTCTTATATATATATATATAATAAAATAGTTATACAAAGAGTCTAAGAAAGAGGGAGAAAGCTAGCACAAAACTAGATTACAGATGAAAGAAAGTAGGAGAAAGATGAAAAGTAAGAGAAGATCAAAACCTGAAGAGAGAGAGAGAACACATCGAAGATAAATTACAAGAGAGCACAAAAGCTATAAGTTCTCAAGGGAAGCAGAAGAAGATGTCGAGGTCCCTGCCCAACAATGGAGTAATGAAGATCGAACTGGATTTTGAAAGACCAAGCTTTGAGCTTTATTCTTTACCCCATTTAACACTTTTTGATAAACCGTTTGAGACGAAAGAGTTGTTCCATTGTGGTACCTACGGTTCCTCTTTTTCCAGATTTCATAAACACAAGCATGCCATGCTTGAAGAAGGGCAAGAGAGATGTTGTTATTTGATGAAGCAGATGGTAGCCACTCCATAATCAGATCCCACGATATTGGAGGGAGTACAGTCAATAACTCAGATATTATTTTTTGCCATACAATCTGCGAGTATGGACAGTTGAAGAATAGATGGTCTCTGGTTTCATCTTCAACTCCACAAAGCAGACAAGTCCTTTCAACATCGCATCCCCACTGAGAAAGTCTATCCATAGTTGGATTGCGATTTAGAACAAACAACCAAACAGAAAAAGCATGTTTTGAGATTCTGGCCTTATGCCACACCAAAGGGAACCATGTAACTAATGCTTTTTGATCCCTAACGTGATTCCATACATTTCGAGAGCAAAACGATTTTTGGATCCGCTCATCGATCAACCAAACTGCAGTATCACTATAAGTCGAGCGACAAATAGTAGTGATATGTGAATAGAGTAGAATTTGCTTTTCTGACCTTGCTGGTGGTAGATTCTAACCCGTGTGTGTAAACTGCTCCTTGACTGTGGCGAAGAGAGGAATGCCAAGAAGCATTGGCCCGTTATTGCCAAAGAAATGAATAAGTGGTCCGAACGGAGTCCATGGAACCAACCAGAAAAAAGTATCATCGCCATTTCCAATTATTATTCTGAGAAAAGACCATGCCTTCTGTCTTAACTTAAGAAGATTGCGAAACATCCAAGAGTACCTATAATTTTTTACATTTAGAGCCCAAAAAGAAGAGTGAGAAAGGTACTTGCTCCTCACCCAAGCATTGTTTTTTTTTGTTAATAGTTATTTTCTATCTTAGTTACTTTTTATTTTTTTGTGTATGATTTTATTTTCTTTGTTAATTGTTTTTTGAGGCATGAATATTTGGTTAATTTTTTTTAAAGGGTTTTAAATATTTTTTACTATCCTTATTATTTTTTTTCTTTTATTGTTTGTAATTCTTTTTTTTTACTTAGTATTTTAGGTTTTTTTGTGTATTATTTAATTGTCTTTGTTAAATTTTCTTGGGCATGAATATTTTGTTCTAAATGTTTTTTTGTTAATTATTTTAAAATTGATTTTAAATTTGCCAAATTTTTAATATGTGTTTCTGTTTTTAAATATATTATTGTAACTTTATATGTTTTTCTTTTTTAAATTTGGAATAGTATTAGTAATAGTTTGCTTGGTATTTGATGTAGTAATATGTATTTTTAAGATTTCATTGATGTATAATGTGATAAGTAAAAAGAAGAGGAAGAATTCTTTGTTTAAGAAGTATGAAGAAGAACTTTATTGTACAAATTGTTTTTTTTTTGTATACAACCATTGCTATGATATATCCATGGTGGTAGATGTGGTTAGATTTGAGGGTATTGATATCATCTCGGCCTTTGAATGTTTTTAGGCTGATGGTGCATTCTTCATTTTTTCATATGTGGTTTGAAGTGTTTTGGAATGGGCCCATAATTAAGTAGAGGCCCAACAACAAGTGAAGCACTAGGTTCAAGTTGGGTGGGCAAGTGGTGTGGCGGCGACGCAGAGACGAGCATATGATGGGAGTTGGGACAGACGTTGCCGAGGGAAGTTGAAACAGCATAGACACATTATACAAAGATTCAAGGGCAGAGGTAAAGTTGGTTGCAGAGAACCTTAGGGTCTCAGATTTTGTCAAGTAGGTTCTCTCTACCCGAAAGGCAGCTTCGTGCACTATCTGACAGTCCAAGAGTGGAATCTCCTGCCATCAATAAAACCTGGTGGAAAGAAGCTACTACAAAAATCTGAGTCGTCCAAGATCGAAAAGATGGAAGCGGTTCTGGTTTTAAGAGCTTCAGCAAAGGAGATTTGGGCAGGGGGTTAAACAAGAATATGTCCGCCGGACATCCATTACGCCCTATCAGTACTGTTAAAGCGTTAATTGAAGCTTTCCAAGTGAATAAAGATTTGAGATGTTTGCGAAAAGGTTCGATATATATATTTATATATATATATATATATATATATATTGCAAAAGTAGCAAAGAGAAAGAGAGAAATCTCGATGCCGACGAGCCGAAGCTTCATCGGCCCACTTTCTTGGCAAAAGAAATTAAGATATACAATTGTACATATACTATGTTTTTGTAACTAGGTTCGGATCCGCGCTACAGCGCGGGGGAAATAATTAACTATATATTACTTTTAACGGATTAAGATATGTTACATTTTAATTTTATTGCAATGTATTCGATTATAGTGAATTATATATTTGTATAATAAGTTTAAATAAAATAATAAACAAAAAAGCGAATAAATAATAATACATTGAGTTTTGATACAATTAAAAAAACAGTGAAAAGTTAACATCACGAAAAAAACAAATTATTCAATTGACCATTTTTGTAGTACAAGTAGAAATATATGTAAAAATTACATACTTACAATATTTTTTTATGAAGTATCAAACCGTGACATAATTCATTTTGTAAAAACCGTTATTCATAACTCGCTTTACCATTATAATTGTGATTTTATTAAACTACCCGTGAACTATCTAAAATTTACATAGTTTGATATATAATATATATTATCAATAATAATTATGTCTCAAAAAAATATTTTTAATATTTTAAATTTTAATTTATTCTTATATTTGAACCTTTCAATTATAATATTTTGAAACTTTTAAAACTTTTAAATATGCTCATGTAACAATTGTTTTAATATTGGTAATACTGATTTTAAATCATTGTCCAGAATATTTAACCAAATGCAGTTGAGTATTATATGTTCGTTTTGAAAAATTCAAATTGCAACATATGCAAAAAAACTAAATTTTTATTAAATATTTTTATTATATAGTATAATATCATAAATTTTAAAATAATATCAAATAAATGTCAAAGAATAATGATAATTGTTTTTAATATATTATATTAAATTAGTTAGAGAAATATTAGGAAA